TTTTTTTTTTGAGTTTCACTTTGTCACCCTAGGTAGAGTGTTGTGCCATGACATCATAGTTTACTGCAACCTCAAACTTCTGGGCTCCAGCAATTCACTTGCCTCAGCCTCCTGAGTAGCTGGGACTATAGGCGCCTGCCACAATGCCAGGCTATTTTTCAGGCGAAATCTTGCTCTTGTTAAGGCTGGTCTTGAACTTGTAAGCTCGAGCAATCCACCTGCCTTGACCTCCCAGAGTGCTAGGATTACCGGAGCGAGGCACTGTCTCCAGCTTTAATATATTATTTTCTTCCTTTCAAAAGCATTATTGTTGTTGAAAATCCAACAGGAACCAAAAAAAAAAAAAAAGCCTATAATTTCATCACTCAGAGATAGCCATTGTTAATATATAAATATTTTATATATATAAACCTAAACTTCTGTACAAATACAATGCCATAATACTTTTATTTTTGAGATAGAGTCTCACTTTGTCCCCCTCGGTGGAGGGCCATGGCATCTTAGCTCACAGCAATCTTAAACTCTTGGGTTTAAGTGATTCTCTTATCTCAGCCTCTGAAGTAGGTGGGACTACAGCTGCCAGTCACAACACCAGGCCATTTTTAGAGACGGGGTCTCACTCTGGCTCAGGCTAGTCTTGAACTCGTGAGCTCAGGCATCCACCCTCCTCTGCCTCCCCTAGAGTGCTAGGATTATAGGCATGAGCCACCATGCCCAGCCCACAATACCGTTTTTATGATCAGTTAAAGTTGACAATGTATTATGTCTGATGAATATTTTGTTAAATATTTGTTAACTATTTTATAACCTTTTTTTTTTTTTTTGAGAGAGAGACAGGGTCTTTCCTGCCCAGGCTAGAGTGCAGTGGTGTCATCATAGCTTCTGTAATCATATTTTTAATGGTTGCTTTGTATCATAATTTGTTCACACATTATTTATTTATTTGAGACAGATTCTTATTAAGTCACCTTCAGTAGAGCGCCATGGTATAACAGCTCACAGCAACCTCAAACTCTTGGGCTTAAGTGATCCTCTTGCCTCAGCCTCTGAAATAGCTGGGACTAGAGGCATGTATCACCATGCCCAGCTAATTTTCCTATTTTTAGTAGAGACATGATTTAGTTCTTGATCAGGCTGGTCTCGAACTCCTGAGCTCAAGCAATACTCCCATTATTTCTTTTATTTATTTAATGGATTGCCTATTTCAGATTGCTTATTTTCATTGATGTAGTTTTTCTAATTATTTGTTAGAATTCTGTCTGTATATATGTGGTACATAACTGAAATGTCACAAGGAATTTTTTCTACTTTTGTCTTTATTTTTTAATATTATTATCATTATTATTCTGAGACAGAGGCTCATTTTGTTGCCCTCAGTAGAATGCTGTGGCATCATAGTTCACAGCAAACTCTTGGCCTTGAGCAATCTTCTTTTTTTTTTTTAAATTTTTTATTTTATTTTATTTTATTTATTTGTTTTTGCAGTTTTTGGCCAGGGCCAGGTTTGAACCCACCACCTCCAGTATATGGGGCCAGCGCCGTACTCCTTTGAGCCACAGGTGCCACCCGCCTTGAGCAATCTTCTTGCCTCAGCCTCCCAAGTAGCTGGGTACATTGAACTGATGAACACATCCATTACCTCACTTACTTATTTGTTATACTCTTTTCTTATTAGTTTTGAAATGTACCACTGCATTATGCACATTAGGTGAGGACCCCCCAAACATACTCCCTAAATGTAGGTTCTTATTAAGGAGTAGTATTTCTTGAACATGTATGTGTTGGTGTTGTTTTCATCTTTTTAATATAGTGGAAACTCCAACTCCTTATGTGATTCTCCTGCCTCAGCCTCCTTAGTAGCTGGGACTATAGGCATGTGCCACCAGGTCAAGATAATTAAAATTTTTTTTTTTTTTTTTGTGGAGATAGGGGTATAACTCTGTTGCCCAGGCTGGTCTTAATCTCCTAGTCTCAACTGATCCTTTTCCCTTATCATCCCAAAGTACTGGGATTACTGACCTGAGCTATTATACCCAGTATTCACTTAGTAATATGCATTTAAGTTTGACAGTTCATTTCTGCCTAATATTGCTGCCTAATATTCTGTTGTCTGGCTATATCACAGTTTCTTCATCCATTCACCTACTGAAGGGCATCTTGGTTGCTTCCAAGTTTTGGTAGTTATGAATAGAGCTGCAATAATCATTCATGTGAGAGTTTTTATATGGACATAACCATTCAAGTCTTTTGTTAAATACCAAATAGTGCTATTGCTGGATTGTATGTTAAGAATGTTTAGCTTTATAAGAAATTGCAAAACTGTCTTTCAAAGTGTACCATTTTGCATTTCCATCTTCAGTGAGTGAGAATTCCTGTTGCTCTGCATTCTTGCTAGAACTTGATGTCCATGTTTTGGATTTTGACACTTTTATCTTTTTCATTTTTTTCCCCTGTACTTTTTCCTCCTCTCTATAAGCATATTTCTTTTCCATTTATTTTTATCTGATATTTTACAGTTTGTAACTTTGTACTTAACTACCTGAAAAATCTTTCTTTTTGTCTGGGCATGGTGGCTTACACCTGTAATCCTAACACTCCAGGAAGCTGAGGTGGGAGGACCCCTTGACTTCAGGAGTTTTAGACCAGCCTGAGCAAGAGTAAGACCCCATCTCTACTAAAAAGAGAAAAACTCACCGGGATGTCGTGATGGACACCTATTGTCCCTGCTACTGGGGAGGTCTAGGCAGGAGGATTACTTGAGCCCAAGAGTTCTACTTTGCTGTGAACTAGGCTGAGGTCATGGCACTCTAGCCATGGTGACAAAGAGAGACTGTGTCTCATAAAAAAAACAACTTTCTGGCTTGGCACCCATGGCACAGTGGTTACGGTGCCAGCCACATACACCGAGGCTGGCAGGTTCAAACCCAGCCCGGGCCAGTTGAGCAACAATGACAACTGCAACAACCAAAAAAAAAATAGCCGGGTGTAGTGGTGGGTGCCTATAATCCCAGCTACTTGGGAGGCTGAGGCAAGAGAATCTCTTAAGACCAAGAGTTTGAAGTTGCTGTGAGCTGTGACAGCATGGCACTCTACTGAGGGTGACATAGTGAGATTGTCTCAAAACCAAACCAAAACAAAACTTTCTTTTCTTTTTTGGGACAGGTACATCAGGAGCGTCTCTATCAAGAATATAATTTTAGCAAGGCCGAGGGGCATCTGAAACAGATGGAGAAGATATATACTCAGCAAATACAGAGTAAGGATGTAGAATTGACATCTATGAAAGGGGAAGTCACCTCCATGAAGAAAGTGCTAGAAGAATACAAGAAAAAGTTCAGTGACATCTCTGAGAAACTTATGGAACGCAATCGCCAGTATCAAAAGCTCCAAGGCCTCTATGATAGTCTTAGGCTACGAAATCTAACTATTGCTAACCAAGAAGGCACAGTTGAACCATCCATGATCGCACAGTCTGGTGTTTTTGGCTTCCCATTAGGTGAGAATGGACATGTGATATTTAATGTTTGTGTGTTTGTTTGTTCATTTTATTTATTTATTTATTTTTGAGACAGAGTCTTACTATGTTGCCCTTGGTAGAGTGCCGGGGTGTCACAGCTCAGAGCAACCTCATACTCTTGGGCTCAAGTGATTCTCTTGCCTCAGCCTCCTAGTAGCTGGGACTATAGGTGCCTGCCACAACGGCCAGCTATTTTTTATTGTTGCTGCAGTTGTCATTGTTACTTAGTAGGCCCCAGCCAGGCTCAAACTTGCCACCCTGGGTATATGTGGCCGGCACCCTAACCACTGTGCTACAGGTGCCAAACCTATTTATTTTTTGATGGAGTTTGATTTTGTTCCCCAGGCTACAGTGCTTTGGTGTCAGCCTAGCTCACAGCAACTTCACACTCTTGTGTTCAAGCAATCCTCTTGCCTCAGTCTCCTGAGTAGCTAGGACTATAAGTAAGTGTCATCATTCTTGGCTAATTTTTTTCTTTTTTTATTAATTTTAATTTTTTTTTTTTTTTTTTTTGTTGAGACAGAATCTTACTTTGTCACCTTTTTGGTAAAGTGCTGTGCATCATAGCTCACAGCAACCTCAAACTCTTGGTCTCAAGCGATTCTCCTACCTCAGCCTCCCAAGTGGCTGGGACTAAAGGCTCCCACCACATTGCCCGGCTATTTTTAGAGACCGGGTCTTGCTCTTGCGCAGGCTGGTCTCAAGCCCATGAGTTCAGGCAGTCCACCCACTTCAGTCTCCCAGAGTGCAAGGATTATAGGCATGAGCCACCGTGCCCCGGCCTGACTAATTTTTTTCTATTTTCAAGTAGATATGGGAGTATCTTTCTTGTGCAGGCTGGTCTGGAACTCCTGAGCTCTAGCAATCTACTCAGCTTGGCCTCCCACGGTGCTGGGATTACAGGCGTGACCCAGCATGCCTCCCTTAATTTCTTGATTTTTCTTTGTAGAGACAGGGTCTTGTTCTTCCTTTGGGTAGTATCAAATTTCTGACATCAAGTGATCCTTCCATTTTGGCCTCCCAGAGTGCTAGGATTACGGGTGTGAGCTACCATGCTTGGCCAAAATATTATTTTAAAAAATCTGAAACATAGCTGAGTGTTGTGGCGGGCACCTGTAGTCTTAGCTACTTGGGAGGCTGAGGCAAGAGAATTGCTTAACCCCAAGAGTTTGAGGTTGCTGTGAGCTGTGACACCACTGCACTCTACCTAGGGTAACATAGTGAGACACTATCTCAAAAAAAAAAAAAATCTGAAACAAAAGGTTGTGTGTATATATATACACACACACCTCTGAAGTAGATTAAGTAGATAACAAATAAAATGATATTACAAATTCTAGCTCTACTAAAAACATTTCATGTGTCACATTATTTTTGGTGATGAGATGATGCTGTTATTGCAAATTGCATCATAGAAAAAGGTATAATATACTGTGGTCAGATGAGGGACATTATAGTCCTTTTCCTTATTCACTATTAGGTTGATATTTAACCATCTCATAGGTGTTGAGTTCTGCTAAAATATTTATAGAATGCCTTTTGTCTGTTTGTTTCTAAAGATCTACAAGGAAATAATTGCCTAAGTTTTTTCTTTTTTCTTTTCCTCCCTAGGGAACAACTCTAAACTTTCTTTGGATGATACACCAGTTCGAAACTGGGGTGGTGGAGATGGAGATTTTCAGTTCAGACCATTTTTTGTGGGTTCTCCCACAGCACCTGAACCCAGCAATAGCTTTTTTAGTTTTGCCTCGCCAAGTCGTGGATTACAGCAGGAGCAAGTCTCTAGCAGGGCCTTCAAAGTAAAAAGAGTTTAGCTCACTTTACGGAATGTTTCTCTGCTCACTTTCAGTAATTTCATTTAGTAAAATATTATAGATAAGAATAATCAACTTTTATGCTTTTAAGTCTTTGAAATTGTCTTCATATTATCAACTACAAGAAACTCAGAAGAGTGATTTTAGTATCTGTTTTCTTTGTTTCTGTTACCTAAAGCATGAACATTTTATTACTCTTAATTTCATCACCAACTCTTACATTTTCATGGCTAGTGAAAATGTCGTGATGTTATTGTTATTTTGTAGATCATTATTTCTGTCTGGGCTATTTCTGATTGAGTTCTGTGTTATGCATATACACAAAGGCACCTATGTTATATGTCTAATGTCACTTTGGATTCTGGCATATATACTCATGTGTATATGTACATGTGTTAATTTACACTGATATTTTGCTGTATTTGCTGGTATATCTCTGAAAATTTTGCATTTGGAAAATGGTGAGTGCTTTGACTTGTTATTTGGGTGTGTGTCTGTATTTGTATATCAACATGTTTGGAGGTGTGCTCATGTCTATAAATGAGAATACAATTTGATGCTTATATGTTTATTCCCATTTGTATTTAAAAATAAATCACATTGGTAAAGTTATTTTGTAAAGATGATTTTTTTGCATTTATAATTGGCCCTTCATATCCTTGGCTTCTATATCAGTGGAATCAACCACCCACAATTTGAAAATATACAGAGAAAAAATAGCCATACAACAATAAACAACAAAAACCCTAATAAAACCCCCAATACAATATAACACTTATTTGCATGACATTTACAGTGTATTAGGTATTTTAAGTAATCTTGAAGTGATTTAAATTATACAGGGAATGTGAGTAGGTTATTTGTAAACACCATGCCATTTGGTGAAAGAGACTTGAGCATTCAAGAATTTTTGTATCCAGGGCTGGGCTCAGTGGTTCACACCTGTAATCCTAGCACTCTGGGAGGCTGAGGCAGGTGGATTTCCTGAGCTCAGGAGTTTGAGACCAACTTGAGCATGAGCTGAGACCTCATCTCTAGAAAAAGTAAGATATTGTAGTATGCGTCTGTAGTACCAACTACTTGGAGCCTGAGGCCACAGGATTACTTGAGCCTAAGAGTTTGAGATTGCTGTGAACTATGATGCCACAGCACTCTACCAAGAGCAACAAAGTGAGACTGTCTCAATTAAAAAATTTTTTTCGTATCTGTAGGGGTTTCTAGAACGTATCTCCTGCAGATGCCATCTGGTAACTGCATTTTAAAATAAATCTATTTTTTTTAACCTTTTTTGCCAACTGTTACCTTGGGTTTTACTTATTTAGATACACTTCTGTAGAAAATTCGCCAATATGTTATTGATCGCAAGAGATTATATTAAAATGTATAAGATTTATTGTTTTTCTTCATTAAATAGTATTTCTGATTGGTATTGCAGAAAGTAAAGTGTTTAATTACTTAATTATTTAAAGCATTAGAGTCTAGGAAAATTTGAATCACATTCTCAGTAACTTTATATCCTGTTAAGAGGTAAGACTTGAAAGCATATTGGCTGGGGAGGAAGAACATCTGAGTACTGGTTGTGTTATTTTCCTATATATTGATTGTGCAAGTTGGAAATTAAAATTTATGGGCTTTCAACGTCTAGTGGACATTGAATTAAGTTATCCTTACAGCCTTTTGTAACTCTTAAATTTTATGATCTATTCTTACTGGTTTGGGATGAATTATAATGGAATTTCCCTAAATACCAAGTTCCTTTTTTTTTTTTTTAGCTAATAAAAGTCATACTGAAATCATTTGAGAATTTTTCTTTTTTTTTGAGACAGTCTCACTTTGGCACCTTGGAGAGTGCATTACAACTCCAAGCAACCTCGAACTCTTAGGCCCAAGTGATTGTCTTGTCTCAGTCTCCCAAATAGCTGGGACTATAGGTGTCTGTTACAACTCCCAGCTAATTTTTTCTTTTAGAGACAAAGTCTTACTTTGCTGCCCTTGGTAGAGTGCCATGGTGTCACAGCTCACAGCAACCTCCAGTTCTTGGGCTTAGGTGATTCTCTTGCCTCAGCCTCCCAAGTAGCGAGGACTATAGGTGCCCACCACAATGCCTGGCTATTTTTTGTTTGCAGTGTGGCTGGGGCCGGGTTCGAACCCACCACCCTTGGTATATGGGGCCAGTCCCCTACTCACTGAGCCACAGGTGCTGCCCCCCCAGCTAATATTTTATTTTTATTTTTTATTTTTTTTTTGAGACGGAGCCTCAAGCTATCCTCCTGGGTAGAGTGCCATGGCATCACGCTCACAGCAACCTCCAACTCCTGGGCTCAAGCGAGTCTCCTGCCTCAGCCTCCCAAGTAGCTGGGACTACAGGCACCCGCCACAACGCCTGGCCATTTTTTGGTTGCAGCCATCGTTGTTTGGCGGGCCCGGGCTGGGGATTTGAACCCGCCACCTTAGGTGTATGTGGCTGGCGCCTTAGCCGCTTGAGCCACAGGCGCCGAGCCAATATTTTTTTTTTAGAGATGGGGGGTCTCTCTCTAGCTCAGGCTGGTCTCAAACTCCTGAACTTAGGCAATCCACCCGCTTTGGCCTTCCAGAGTGCTGGGATTACAGGCATGAGCCACTGTGCCCCGCAATTTTTTCTTTTTTTGAGACAAAGTTTCATTCTGTTAACCACAACAGTGAGTACCATGGCCTCAGCCTAGTTTACAGCAACCTCAAAGTCCTGGGCCCAGGCAATCCTCCTGCTTTAGTCTCCTGAGTAGCTGAAACTACTCAATCTGGCCTCCAACTCCTGAGCTCAAGCAATCCTCTTGCCTCAGCCTCCCAGAGTGCTAGGATTACAGGCATGAGGCACCATGACCGGCCAAAGGTAAAACATCTTGAGTTAAAAGTTTTAAGGGCAAGAGCAGTGGCTCAGGCTTGTAATCCCAGCACTTTGGGAAGCTGAGGCGGGAGGACTGCTCAATACTGGGGATCAGCTTGGTAATAGTGAGACCTTATCTCTACCAAAAACAAGAAAAATAAGATGGAGTAATTGATGGTGTGTGCCTGCTACTTGGAAGGCTGAGGCTCACTTTAGCCCAGAAGTTGGAAGCTGAGGTAAGCTCTGATCATACCAGAGCTCTAACCTAGATAACACAGAATGGGCCCCCATCTCCACAAAGGAAAAAAATACTAAAAAATAGCTTTCTTTAGTGGCAGAATCATAGCCAGTGAGGTTCATCTGAGGTGTGATTTTTGCTAATGAAAGCTTTTCCCAATATCTTGAGGTGACGACTTGGAACAGTCAGCACCGGCAACTTTTTTTTTTCTTGTCTAGTAGCACTGGCAACTTCTGACAGTCTGTACGGAGAGACTGAATTAAAAAATATACATATTTAAAAAGTTTTAAAACATCCTCTCTTGTTTCATAGCTAATGACACAGATTTTATACACTACATGTTGGAAAATGGTTCAAGGCAGTGATTTTACATACATTTATGATTTCTGCCTTGAACGTTTTACTATATTAGGTTCAGAGCCAGATGGAAGTACAAGTAAGCTATAAATAAAACTAAAGAAGTAAAGAGACAGTCTGTCAGGAATATTACATGGTATTTTAAAGAAAATTATTTGAGACTCGGTACCTGTAGCTCAGCAGGTAGGGCTAGGGCAGCATACACCCAGGCAGGTGGGTTTGAACCCAGTCGGGGCCTGCCAAACAACAATAACTACAACAAAAAAATAGCTGGCAATTTTGGCAGGCGCCTGTAGTCCCAGCTACGTGGGGGGCTGAGGCAAAGAATCACTTAAGCTCAAGAGTTTGAGGTTGCTGTGAGCTATGACGCTACAGCACTCTACCTAGGGCGACATAGTGAGACTCTGTCTCAAACAAAAAAAATTATTTGAGTTTAATACATTGATAATGATACAAATTCAAAGGAAAGGAAAACCAGAGAGAAAAGTCTCCTCCCTTTTATCTCTGACCCCTAGCCAGGCCCACTGTTTGGAAGCAAGGGTTTATTGTTGTCAGTGTCTCCTGTCTCCAGGGATAGTCTATAAAGAAGCAAACATTTTTTTGTTTAAGAATTGTGTTTATTGCCAGGTGCGGTGGCTCATGCCTGTAATCCCAACACTTGGGAGGCCTAATCAGGTGGATTGCCTGAACTCAAGAGTTTGAGACCAGTCTGAGCCAGAGCAAGACCTCTGTCTCTTAAAAATAGCTGTGGGTTGGGCAGTGCCTGTGGCTCAAAAGAGTAATGTGCTGGCCCCATATGCCGGAGGTGGCAGGTTCAAACCCAGCCCCAGTCAAAAACTGAAAAAAAAAAAAAAAATAGTCGCAGGTTGTGGCAGGTGCCTGTAGTCCGAGCTACTCTGGAGGCTGAGGCAAGAGAATCGCTTGAGCCCAAGAGTTTGAGGTTGAATGAGCTATGAGAACATGGCACTCTACCGAAGGTCGACAAACTGAGACTCTGTCTTTAAAAAAAAAAATAAATAAAATAAAAAATAATTGTGTTTATTTCTGAATAAATAATGCATGTATATGGCAAAAACTTCAAAAAGGTACACAGTAAAAAGAATTTTCTTGGCTCACCTGCAACTTCCAGTTTTGTTTCCCTCTCTAGAGATAGTCATTGTTTATTTCTCTTATATGTTCTGGAAACAGTCTATGCTGTACAGCATGACGGCTTTTATAACATCATCTGCAGTATACTACATTTAATAGGTTGGTAAATTAAAAATGATAAAATGACTCATATAGAAAATCACTGCAAAATTTGGGAAAAAATTCAGACAACCAAGTTACTATTGTACCATATTCCCTTCAAATTTTCAAACCACACTGTCATGCAGGGTCTTAACCGGTCTTTTTTTAAGGGGTCTTATAGTCGTGGTATTAAATAATTTGGGAGATAGGAAACGAAAATATACCTTTAATTAAGGTGAAAGTATTTTGTTTCCAGGTTCTAGGAAAGAAACAAATTTATGAACTCAAAAGTGTACAGAATCTGCTTTTTGCTATATAGGAAGTGGGTTAGGTTGGTTGGAGAAAAGCCCTTCAGGTGCAGGCAAGCCTCCAGAGCCCTAGAGGTCGCTGTGGCTCCACAATGGGCGTGAGCAGGAGTCTCTGTTACAAAGTTGCGGGCGGAGAAGCCTAGAGTGGCTGGGAAATGATGGCTGATGAAGAGGAAGAAGCGAAGCCGATCTTGCAGAAATTGCAGGTGGGGGCCAGAGATTAAAACCCATATGTGCTTTTGTTAGTTGGAAAGAAGCAGTTTATACAAAGCCTGCGAATTCCTGGGCACGTGTACGGTGCTGCAAGCGCCGGTATGGTTACTATAACAACTCCCGAGGGTGTAGTCACAGCCGGCCAGGGGAGCCCCTCGGGCTAGGGGAGGGTGCAGCCGTGTGCTGGGAACTCCTGATGCTGTCCTGACTGCGCTTTAATTTCAGTCCTCTATGGAAGAGGATTTGTTGCTTTTAACTTTATTCATGTATATTGTTAGAGGAAGTTTTTTTCCCCTCGATTCATCCGTAACAAATAGCATACATATGTGTATGGCACATCTGCGTGAACTGTTATTGCATGTTGTTTTGATTCCTGCAGAGGCCATTTCTTGAACACTTCTTTGAAATTGGCGACAATCACAATAATGGCCTGTACTCAAGTATCTTGGTTACTCCCCTTTGTACGTTACAGTTTTGATTTCTGTGAGCATATGTAATCCCTGTTTGGGGTCCAGACTCCACGTAGTTCACAGGTGACTGTGTTTCTGACTCGTCTTTTGTATTATATTTGGTAGGTAGGTGTTAACCATTGTTTGGCTTTTTACTTTTCTATTAATGACCTAAGATTTTCCTTAAACCTCAGGAACTCAGTTCTTTGTGTTCTGGAATTTAAACATTAGAATCATGACAGGCTTGTAACTTGCTTAAAGGTGTCTAACACATACAAGTTTAAACATCGGTGAGATTTCTATTTCATTGTTTCTAGAGTAGATTAAAATAACACTTTTTAAGAGTGTAGGCTTTACTTCCAACTGACTTGGATTAACTTCATTTTATTCCCTAGTTGTGACTGGTTGAAATTAGAGATTGTCAATCCTGGCTCCATATTAGAAACATGGTTTGGATATATATACCCAAAGATACACACAGACACACACACACACACACACACATGCATATTTGTATATGTAAAGAAAAGAAAATCTGAAAAAATACTCTACAGAGTGGTTATCCTTATGTTTGGGGTAATTATTAGGAATTTTTTTACTTAATTTTTTTGACAGGGTCTTGCTCTGTCATTAGGGCTAGAGCGCAGTGGCATCATCTTAGCTCACTGCAACCTCAATTTCCTAGGTTCAAGTGATCCTCTGGCCTCAGTATCCCAAGTACATGGGACTAGAGGTGCGCACCACCATACCTGGCTAATTTTTTTTTGCAGAGAAAGGGTTTAATACTTGTTCTGGATGGTCTTGAACTCCTGGCCTCAAGCAGTCGTCCTGCCTTGGCCTCCCAAAGTACTAGGATTATAGGTTTGAGGAACTGCACCTGGCCTACTGACGGTTTTTACATGTATCCAATTTGAATTTTAACAAATTATTGATTTTTCTATGAAAAAAAATTACTAAAAATGTTCAGTATAGCGAAAGAAAACCAAACAATTTCTTGTGTATTTGCTTTAACAACTAAAAAAGACAATAAAGGCTGTGTGCAGTAGCTCACGCCTATAATCCTAACACTCTGGGAAGCCAAGATGGGTAGATTGTTTGAGGGCAGGAGTTGGAGACCCTGTCTCTAAAAACTAGCTGGGTGTTAGTCCCAGCTACTCAGGAGGCTGAGGGAAGAGGATCACTTGAGCCCAGGAGTTTGAGGTTGCTGTAGCTATGATACCACAGTACTTGACAGAGGGTGACAAAATGACACTCTGTCTTAGAATGCTCCCCCCCCAAACAAAAAAACAACATAAATAAGACCCTGTCTAAAACTCTTAATTTGAAGCTGTGACAATTGCAGCACAAAAGGTAATTGGTTGTAATTTTCCATGAGAACTGCCTTTCCTGGGATTCATTGTGGTATAAAGCCCTAAGCAGCTTGGCAGAGGATCCTTAGGGTATCGGGGGTATAGTAAGTTCGGGAATGGAATAAGAGTGAAGTAGAGAAGAGGAAAAGGATTAGTGATGTTGCTCTTAATGGAAATGTTGATAAGCTTTGATTTCATTGTTACAGGCATTTTAGGGTAGAAGGAATATATAAAAGGAGATTTCTCAAAGTGTGTTCTACTATTTTCAATACAGTCATCTGGGGTATTTAATACAAATGCAGAATTGTTTTATTCTGCTGAATACTAAAATCAGACTCTCTACAGGCTGGGTCCTGGAAATAGTATAATAAAATCTGAAAAGTACTACTGCAGAGGGTGCTAGTCCATTCTCTTCATTTTGTATAGGATTCTAAATTAGGTATGGCATATATGTATTTGTTAGAACACGAATGGTTGGTGAAATCAATTCAGTCAGAATAGTTAATTAGAGCCTCTTAGGTCTCAGGCCCTGTTAGTACTTACGTGTAGCTCTAAACAAAACAGATGAAAGTCCTTTCCATCATGGCACTTACATTCCAGAGGGGAAGCTAGACAGTAGACAATGAATGGGACACATAATTTCAAATGACAAATACTATGAAGAAAAATACAAATGTGATTTAATAGTGGAGGAGATGAGGATGGGATTACTTTGGTTTGGTAATTGAGGAAAGCCCCTTTGAGAAGTTGATATTTGAGCTGAGATCTAAATGATGATGAGGAACAAGTCATGCAGAAATCTGGGAAGAGAGAGTCCAGGCATAGGGAGAAGACCTCCAGGTGAGCTTAAACTTGATGGGTCTGAGAGACTGCATGAAGGCCAGTGTGGCTTGAGTATTGTAGGAGGGAGAGTGATAAGAATTGAAGTTTGTGGCAGGGTGGGTGGTGGGTCAGATCATACATTCTGCGAGGCCATGGCAAGGAGTGCATTTTATAAGGTCACTCTGACTATGGTGAGAGAATGGGAGGGAGTAGAAGCAAATGAACAGTTAAAAGCTATTGCAATAGTCCAGACAAGTAACAAAGCTGACTTAGTTCAGGATGGTTATAGTGGAATGGAGACAAATGGATGAATTTAGGCCGTGCCATGGAGGTAGTTGGTAAGACTTGATGGGATTGGCTTATATGTCTCTGCTGTCTGTTCAGGAAAGGATAGATACATATTGAGTATCCCTTATCTGAAATGGATAGGACCAGAAGTGTTTCAGATATGGATTTTTTTTTTTGGATTTTGGAATATTTACTGTATATAAAT